GGCCCGAGCGTCTAACCTCCCGCCCCGCCAGGTGAGTCTCCTGGCCCGAGCGTCTAACCTCCCTCCCTGCCAGGTGAGTCTCCGCCGGAGCGTCTAACCTCCCTCCCCGCAGGCGCGAGCGGCTGCCCCCGGGCGGGGCTTGGAAGCCGGACACAGCTGAGCGCGCGGGGCTGCAACTCGGACGGAGCCGCCCGCGCGGGGCGGAGAGCGACTCCGACTTTGCGAAGAAAGCGAGCTGCACAGCCCTCGGGGCCCCGCGCTGGGTGTCCTCCCAGCGGACCGCGATCGGCGCCCTGAGACGCGAGGCGGCTTTCCACGCGGGCAGGCCGGGGAAGCCCGGCTCCTTGTCGGAAAAGGCGCCGCCGCCGCTTCCGTGGCCCCGGCTGGCCAGTGACGGCGGGCCCGGCCCGGGCGGTGCAGGGCAGGGACGGGGAGGCGGACAGTTGCGCGGGTCTGCGGAGCGCAGAGAACCGGGCACGGACCCCGAGGCCTCCGCCCTGCACTTACGGAGTGCGCCCACCGCGTTCCTCAACCGGCCAGGTCCTCCCGGACCTCCAGCGCCGCCACCTCAGCCTTTACCCACTCCCTAGCTACGGTTGCTACCCAAGCTTCGTCCCCGTAGCAACCGCCGCGCACCGGGCGTCCTGCCGTAAAGCGAGGGAGCAGCACGGCGGTCACGTCCCGGTGACTTTCCACGCGGGCAGAGCCGACGCGCCCCCTGCCGGCCGCCGGGGTAGTGGCTCTGCCCTCGCGGGGTCTTTCCTCCCCTCCCCGTGCCCCCCTTTTCCCACCGTGCCGCCCCGAGAAGCTGTAGGGGCCAACTCTGGCCGTTCTGACCTTCCACAACCGATGACCCTAAGTGAAACAGCATGGACACCTGTGAACCCACCACTCCGGGGGCTGAGGCCCACGGCCAGCAGGGCCTCTAGCATTTCAATGCCAGTCTGAACAACGGAAGGAGACCTGAGCTCAAAACCAAAAAACAAAAAATCCATGCCAAAGGCAGATTCAGCTCCCGGCCCTGCAGATGCCACACGCGTCCGTCCTGCCTGCCTCAGGCGACGGTGAAGGCGGAGAGGTTTAGCTGGCTGTTAGTACTACAGGACTTGCACGATCTTGCGGGTTTTGTCCCGAAGCGCTTCTGCACAACCAGCCTGGTTCAGCGGGGTAGGGTCACCTCAGCGGAAGGGAATCACAGGACTGCACCGGGTGGGCGTCCTGAGCTCCAAAGCCAGGAGAGACTCACACCCCCATAGCGGACTCACACACCAGCGCCTTGAAATGGGCGGCAGAAGTGGAAGCGGGGGGTACAAACTTTATTACAGTCCACGGCTTACAGAGATGGGAAATACTCGCCTTGGAGCGCGCAGCTCCGAGGGGAAGCCCTGCTAGACGCCGAGCGCCGAGGGCACACTTGGGGGAGACCGCTTTGGCGTGCAGCCTGACATCCCGGGCTGGTCACCCGCTCCAGCCAAGGGCACACGCCTCGGCAGAATGTCCCGGGCCTCTCCAAGAGGGAGCGGTCTGCGAAACGGGGCCGATGAACGTGAGGCCGCCATGGAGGGAAGGGTTCAGACATGGAGTCCAAGGAATGATCTTAATCTTAACAGAGCGAGTAAGAAGGAAGCAAGTGGCACTCAGAAGAGGTCAGATCTGTAAACACTTCCGATCAGCACTGTCGAACACAGCTTGTAAAAATGCTGACCTTGGGGGATGCTGGGAGTTTTGATTACAGGTCAAGCGGGAAGCACAACAGTGGGCTTCCTTCCAGGGCAGGGCCAGGCCACCCTCGGGGCTTCCTGGGGCTTCCCGGGACCCCAAGGGCCCAAGAGCCCTGGCCACTGCGGCTGCGCTGAGCGACTGGGCGCTCTGTGTACACAGCAGCAAAGTCAAGGACAAGGACACCGCCAGAGCTTGTCTGCGGCACATTGCTGTTAGTTTTGCACAGCTTTCAGGATGTTCCCGCCCGGCTCTAACCTTCTCCTGGGGCTGGAGATGCTCGGGAGAAATTCCAGTGGGGCGCTACATGCTCACCGCCGCCTGCATGGCCATGTTTGGGGATGCTATGCTGTTTCCTCCAGCATAGCGTCAGCCACACCTTCCCACAGCTCCCGCCTGCCCCAACCGAGAATTCTCATTCAGGTTCTGTCCTGATTGGTCAGAGATGCCGAGCACAGATTTTGTTTCTAAAGATGCCTCCACCCAGCAATGACAGCATTTCGGCCACCAGACGATCCTGAGACTTCGGGGAGCAGAGAGAATGGGGGTCCCGTGGTGGCCCAGGTCCAGGGCACAGAGTGGTGCCCACTGCTGCTCCCCAGGGACAGTCATCTCTGCAGAGGGACAATGTTGCAGCTGCAAGGAGAAAGAGGAGGGGCCTGAGCGTGGTGGCTCCTCGGAGGAGGACGGCGAGAGCCCCGCCAAGCTGCTCCCTATGCCCTTTCATGCTTTCTGTTTTTGAGACTGGGACTCGCTCTGCAGTTCAGGCTGGCCGTGAACTCACTTTGTAGCCCAGGCTGGCCTTGAACTGACAGCGATCCTCCTGCCTCAGCCTCCCCAGTGCAGGGATCACAGGCATGCGCCACCACGCTTAGCTTATCCTTTCGTTCACTTAAAGCCAGCGCCATCTGTGAAAGCACCTGAGACTCAAGAGCCCCAGAGCCCCCTTCACCTGACTGCGGCTATAGCCCCAGCACAGGTGTCCAACACCGGCATCCCAGCACTCGGGCCCACACCGTAGGCAGCCCCTGGGCCTCCCCAGTTGGTGTCTGAGGAGCTCCTCGGGCGCTGCGTGAATGAATGGAGGAGGCGACCCCTACCCCAGCAGGCCTTTCCCCGCCCAGCGCGTGGGGACGAGGCGGAGCTGCAGTCTCTCCCCTCTGCGGATCACGGTCACCGTCAGGGGCCTCTGAAAGGAAAGGGAGAAGGTTCAGGGTCAAGTTCAGTGACACCCAAATAACAAGGGATGTGAGGACTCGGCAGGTGGCACTGTCAGCGGTGGCACCAGCAAACCTGCAATTACCATCTGACCCAGCCGTGGGTGCCCAGGAATATAAAGCAAAGCAGAACGGATGAGACGTTTCTATTCCTGCGCTTACAGCAGCACTTTCACAATGGCAAAAAATGTAGAAGCAACTCAAGCTGATGGTCAGAGACAATGTGGCCCCCCACACAATCCAGTATCATTCAGTCTTAAAAAGCAGAAATGTGCCTGGCGTGGCGGCACACACCTGTAATCCCAGCACCCGGAGGCTGAGGCAGGAGGACCACTGAGAGGCAGAGAACAGCCTGGGTCTGTAGTGAGTTCACAGCCAGGCTGAACTACACAGCAAGACCTTGTCTCAAAAAGCCAAAAATAAATAAGCAAGTAAATAAATAAAATTTAAAACTGTGGGCTGGGGATTTAGCTCAGCGGCACAGCGCCTGCCTGGTAAGTGCAAGGTTGTGAGTTTGATTCCCGGTACTGGAAAAAAACCAAAAAAAAAAAAAAAAAAAATTAAAACTGTGGCAGATCTATCAATGTAATTTCTGAGTTTGAAAAAATAGAAGTATAGGGGGACAGTGTTTGTTCTTGTCCTTAAGACTGCCACAGGATAAGGCCCTGGCGGTGACATGGACGGGCAAGGAAAGGATATCAGCCCGGAGACACAAAGTCAGAGGGTGTGAACCCAGCTCACTTTGTTTTTCCAGGTACGGGGTTACACCCAGGGCCTTCGCACTGCGCTCCACTTCCTGTCCTTTTTTAATCTGAAACAGGATCTAACTTGAGAAGTTCCCCATGCTGGCTTGAACTTCCAGTTCTTCTGCCTCAGCCTCTCAGAGTGCTGGGATTACAGGTGTGTGCCACCATGTCTTGATGCCATGTGATTTTTTAAAGGATAAATATGCATTTTTATTATTGAAACACAGTTCACACACTAAAATTCACTTTTGGCAGGAGTGGTGGCACACCTGTAATCCCAGCACTCTGAGAGGCTGAAGCAGGAGGATCACCATGAGTTTGAGACAAGGCTGGGCTACCTAGCAAGAAGCCTGAACTCCAGAGTGAAACCCTGTCTCAAAAGACAAGAGCACTGAATTATGCACTTTACATGGATAAATTGTACTAACTGTAAAATGTCTTAATAAAGCTGTTATAAAAACAATTATACATGGATTTTTAAAAAACTAAAAATAATAAAAGCACTAAAGAAACCTTAAGTAGACATTAAAGGTTAAAAAAAAAAAAAGTGAAAAAATCAGAAACCGGACCAGAGTCAGACATGGTGGCACACGCCTGTAATCCCAGTACTCAGGAGGCTGAGGCAGGAGGATCTTTGTGAGTTTAAGACCAGCCTGGGCTACAAAGTGAGCTCCAGGCCAGCCTGATCTGCATAGCAAGACCCTGTCTCAAAAAGACAAAAGAAAACAAAAAACTGGACCAGCCACCCAAGTTCAGAGTGGAAGGTGTGGGTGCAGAGACGGGGGCCAACCTGCAGGGCATGTGGCAGGGGCCACGCGGCCCAGACCAGTTATACCTATGTACACATGGAGCTGCCCCAGAATTGCTGGTTGAACTGAAGATTGTATTTAGGAGCCAAAAGCTAAACAATAATTCTGTTTTTCTTTTTTTTTTTCTTTGTTTTTTTGAGACAGGTTCTCAATATGGAATGCAGGCTGGCCTTGAACTCATTGGGATCCTCCTGCCTCAGCCTCCTGAGTACTGGGATTACAGGTGTGCGCCTGTAATTTTTTGTTTGGTTTTAGTAATTTTTTGAGGCTTTGAGTCCCGTATTCCTCTGGCATCTTCACAGAAAACAACTGGGGTGAGGGGCACTGCTGGGATGGAACTCAGGGCCTCACCCACGCTACTCACACACTCTGCCACTGAGCTGCACCCTGGCCCCAACCAAAACATTTTATTGGCCCAAAACAAGTAAGATCATTAAGTACAAATGTTATTTAATGGCATACAATGCTAGGGCTGGAAGACGTCCACTGACTTCCAACTTCTATATTCAACAGGGACTGAAGTGATCAAAGTGCGCCATGACTTGAGTTGCAATCCACTCCTGCTAGAAGTGTACTGGATGACAACCTTTGCAAATTGTGGGCTAACATTTTAAGCAGGGACACTCATTTTTTTGTTTTTGTTTTTTGAGACAGGGTCTTGCTAGGCAATTCACACTGGCCTTGAATTCACTATGTAGCCCAGGCTGGCCTCGAACGCACAGTGATCCTCCTGCTTCAGCCTCCCAAGCTGCTTCTTGTTTTTTGAGACAAGTCTTGTTGTTAGTTCAGGCTGGCCTCAAACTTACAGCGATCATCCTGCCACAGCCTCCTGAGTGCTGGGATTATAGGTGTGAGCCACCACGCCCAGCCAAATGTGCACACTCTTACAGCACTATAACTACCCACAGATGCACGTGCGTGAGTCACTGTCACACACAGCAGAGGCAACAGCCCGTACTAGAGCACAGCTGGAAATACCAGGGCGAGCCAGGAGAAGCACTCCAGGCAGAGGAGCAGAGAGCGCAGTTCCCAGGCGGGGACGGTCATGCAGCACAGGCGGAGGCTTCGAGGGCCACACCCAGGGCTACAGAGGCTGGGTGCTTTGGGCTCCACCTCTGTGCCCCTCCTCAGACTCCCACGCTGAAATCCTAACCCTCCGTGTGATGAGGTCGAGAGGTGAGGCAAGCCAGGCTCGGTCCCCTCAGGAGGCTGAGGCAGGAAGACTGCCAGATCCCAGCCAGCCTAGGCAACTTAGCAAGACCCTGTCCCAAAATAAAAAGATAAAACAAGGGCTTGGGATGGAGCTCAGTGGTAGACACCCCGTAGTTTGATTGCAGGTCCCACAAAAAAAAAAAAAGAGAGAGAAGAGAAGGGGAGGGGAGGGAAGGGAAGGGGAGGGGCCTGTGTCCAGGCCTGTGGACAGGGGAGGCGGGAGAGGAAGGGAAGCACTGGGCCTTTGAAGTGTTAGGGGACCAGGGGGGGTCAGCACCTCTATGACCCCATGAGCCCCTCAGCTCTCCACCCAGTGAGCACACAGCAAGGTGCCTCAGCTGCCCCTCAAGCTGCTGGGACCTTCACGTGGGGATAGCCCAGCCCCAGAACTGAGAGTCCTCGGCCCAGCAGCCCCTGCGCCCCGGAGCCCACTCACCCCCTGGCTGTGCTGCACCACGCTGCCGACGTTCTGCAGCGACTGGAAGTTCTGGGCATTCACGGAGCCGAACTCCACGATCTCATCCTCCACCTGCAGGCCCTGAGAGGAAAACATGGAACCAGGTGAGAGGCTGGTTACATGGGCTCTGCGGGTCCCCACCCATCAACACCCTATCTATCTATTTATTTATTTTTGTTCTTTTAAGACAAGGTCTCACTGTATAGTTTAGGCTGGCCTTGAACTCACTATGTAGCCCAAACTGGCCTCAAACTCACAAGGATCCTCCTGTCTCAGCCTCACGAGTGCTAGGATTACAGGCGTGGGCCACCACACCTAGCCTCTCATGGGACACCTGTCCCTTTCTGTGTCCCAGCTGTCCCTAGGAACAGACATTCCTCCCCCAGTTTGGTGGCAGCAGGGGCTGACACCACCGAAGCCCTGGCCCATATACACAGCAGCCCAGCCGGGGTTTGGTGGTGGAGTAAGGGGTTCAGAGCTGCAGCACAGACCCAAGCCAGGGCCGCCCCACCCAGCGCCCTCCCCGAGTGTGGATCTGCAGGCCAATTACCGCGAAGCTGGCGGGGGAGCCGGCACTGATGCTGTTCACCCTGGCGAAGGCCTGTGGGGGGCCCTGGCTCTCGCCCTGGCCTGGCCTGCGGCTCAGGGCCTCCCTGCGGGCCTCGGCCAGGTCCCGGGCCTGCTTCTCCTTGTCACGGGCGTGCAACTGGTGCAGAGCCTCCTCCACCTGCTTCATCACTGCCTTGTGGTCGTTCTGCAGGCCTGTGGGACACGTGCCACATCAACCAACGGCGGCTCAAGCCAGACACCCGCGTGCAGGCCCAAGCACTCAACACGTGACACAGCACGACAACACCAGACACTGGCTAGGCCATGCGCTATCACTGGGTCCAGGAGAGACGGCGCAATAGGACCCACAAGGGTGCCCAGAATCCCTGACAATGCCTGGTGCAGAGTCAGCACACAGTAAGCCCCTGGGGAGGAGCCCGCAGCAGAACATTACAGCTTTAATCAGAATCCAGAAGGTTCTCTTTTCCTGAGCAGATATTTCTGCAGTAGCTTTCAAAAAACAAGGTTGCAGTTATAATAAATGTACCACATTCACATAAGCATTCATCAGGTAACTTGGTACAAGTACATGGGACCTCTCTAAATTATTTTCTCAAGTTTTTTGTAAATCTAAAAATAAAAGTCTACTAGTGCTCTGGGAGGCTGAGGCAGGAGGACTGCAAGTTCAAGCTAAGCCTGGGCTATATATTGAGACCCTGTCTCAAAAAATAAATAAATAAATAAATAAATAAATAAATGGCTATGGTGGTGCATGCCTGGGATCCCAGCATGTGAGAAGCTGAGGCAGGAAGATCTCCCATGTTCAAGGCCAGCCTGGGCTACAAAGTGAGTTCAAGGGCAGCCTGAGACTCTGTCTCAAAAAAAAAAAAGCCCAATAAATAAAAATAAAAAGAGGTAGAGATGTAGCTTAGTGCTCGAGCACCCCTGGGTTCAATTCATTTTATTAAAGAAAAACAGGCAGGAGGGAGAGAGACGAGATGACAGAAACAGGCTGCAGCAATGCTGTCACTGGTGTGAAGACAGAGGTGGCCAAGCTCAGCAACACAGGTGGCCTCCAGAGGCAGAAGAGGCGAGGAAATGGGTCTCCACAGCCTCCAGAAGGAGCCAGCCCTGCTGATTCCTCACCACCACAACAGGGGAGGATAAATCTGTGTGGTCTGAGGCTGAGGCAGGAGGACTGTATGTCAGAGCCCAGCCTGGGCAACTTGGCAACTTAGCAAGACCCTATCTCACTGAAAAAGAAGGGAGGGAGGGAGAGGGAGAAGGAAGGAAGGAAGGAAGGAAGGGAGGGAGGGAAGAAAAAAAAGAGAGAGAGAGAGACAGAGAGAGAGACAGAGAGAGAGAGAGAAAAGAAAGAAAAGAAAGAAAAGAAAGAAAGAAAAGAAAGAAAGAAAAGAAAGAAAAGAAAGAAAGAGAAAGAAAGAAAGAAAGAAAAAGAAAGAAAGAAAGAAAAAGAGAAAAAAGAGGAAAGAAAGAAAGAAAAAGAAAGAAAGAAAGAAAGAAAGAAAGAAGAAAAGGAAGGAAAGAGGAAGGGGAAGCAGGGCTGGAAGGGGAAGGAGGGCTGTAGATGCAGCTCTGAGTAGGTGCTGGGTTGGATCCCCAGTCCTCCCCGCAAAAAAAGTGTGGTTTTGAGCCAGAAAGTCTGTGGCCATTAGTCACAGAGAACTAACCCGCTTCCCAACATCTATTTCCTGCTAGTTCCTTAGTTAAAAACAAATAAATACCCATCAGGCTGGCCTCACATTTGCCAAGATCCTCTTGCCTCAGCCTCCTGAGTGCTGGGATAACAGGCACGCACCATGACACCGACTACATGAAGGATTTCATCTGGGACCGGGCAGCATGTTTCTGCAGCTTTCCTTGCAGGAGGAAGGGCCTCTGAGGGGCAGAACTGACGGAGGGCTCAGGCCGGGAATTTCGACTACAAAGCATGTGTGCACATGTGTGCGCATGCACCCGCAGGTGGGGGAGCTACAATGGGCCTCTCTCCTCTCCCACCTTCTTCCCGCCCGGAACTGGGCCACTGACCCTCAAGGCGGACACGGAGCCTGACTCCTGACCAGCCCGCACCGCCAAGCTCCCAGTGTCCCCATGAGACACCTCCTGTCCTTTGTGCACGAGGGACCACAGCCAGGTCCCGTGATGGCTGGGCCTGCGTCCTAACAGACACGTACTGTTCCACTAGCTGTAAGCAACGGGGGCCCGCGCTGCTGCTGCTTTTCCGGTGAGGTCCCCAGTGGGGGCCAGCCCTGCAGACAAAGCCAGAAACAGCCCCAGAGTCCAGCCCGCCCTGGTTCACTCCTGCGGTGGGGACACTGAGGCAACCACGTGAAGGCAGAAGAGAGGTGACAGAGGACGCCGACACTGGCGGGCTGTGCCCAGCCACCAGCAGCCCTGCGGCGCAAGTGTCCCCCGGCCACTCACAGATGATGTTGTGCCGGGCCGTGCGCACTTGGTACAGGTCCACGTCCGCGCGTGGGTAACCCTCGCAGTCCACCAGTGGCTCGTCCATCCCGACGCCTTTTTGCTGCGGGGAAGACATGAGGTTGGACAGATGTCACAGGCGGGACATCCTCAAGACGCCCTTTCCCAGAGTCATAAAAAGGTGACAGCAGCTGGACACAGGCACACACCTGTGACCCCAGCACTACGGGAGGCTGAGGCAGGAGGACTGTAAGTTTGAGCCCAGCCTGGGCAACCTAGCAACTTAGCAAGACCCTGTCTCAGAATAAAAAACAGGGCTGGGGATGGAGCTCAGTGTGAAGGCCCTGGGTTCAATTCTCAGTACTGAAAATAACCTAACGTAAAGGTGACAGTAACACAAACTGTCCTCAGCACACACCAGGGGCTTCACCCCGGTCCTCACAGCTCACCGCAGAGGTGGACACTTTTTGACACTCATTTCTAAGAACACAAGCAGTGCAAGAGCGCACTCTGCTTCCCAAAACCAGGACAGTGCACCTGGGATCAAAGGCCCTCAGGCATCACTGCCCATTGCACCGGCCCCTCAAACCTGGCAGCTGGCACCTGCCGGTGGGCTTGGACCTGAGGCACTGAGAAGCTCCCAGCACTCGGGTGGCCGGGCTTGCCCCGCCCCAGAAGGCCGGTCCGATAGCACTGCCACCTCCAGAGAGCCGGCTGGCAGGGCTCAGAGGCAGGAGAGGGGTCCATCTGATACACTGCTGTGGCTTTGAGTTTGACTGTGGGAATTCATTCCCCATTCAAAACAATACATTTGTTTCAACTGTATTTGTTTTTTTGAGTCAGGCTTTCATTATGTTGCCCAAGCTGGCCTCAGAGCAAGCCTCCTGGCTCAAGCAAGCCTCCTGCCTCAGCCTCCCAAGTTGCTGGGCCAAGAGGTTCACACCAGTGTGTAATCCCAGCATGTGTACATGCACACCTGTAATCCCAGCGTTTGGGAGGCTGAGGCAGGACTGATGCAAATTTGAGACCAGCCTGGGCTACATAGTGAGACCCTGTCTCAAAAACAAACAAACAAAATACTTCACTCCTTTTTACCACCAACTTATATCCCATTGTATGGATGGACCACATTCTATTTATCCATCTGTTGAATGATTCTGGGTTGTTTCCACTTCTTAATTCTTACAAAATGTCAGGAACAGTTTCTATGTAGACAGGTTGTCAGAGATCATGGGTATTACCTGTAGGAATTGCTGGGTGGGTGGGTGGGTTTGTTTGATTCATTCATTTATTTATTTATTGTACCAGGAATCGAACTCAGGACCTTGCACCTGCCCCCTCATCTACATCCCTGGCCCTATAACTTGTTTTGGGGAACTGCTGGGTCATGTGGTAACTACATCTAAGCTTTGGAGGAACTGCCAGGCTGTTTCCCCAGCAGCATCCCCACTTTACATTCCCATGAGCAGTGTATGAAGGTCCCCATTTCTCCTCATCCTCCCTAGTTTCTACTACAGCCACCCCAGGCAGTATGAAGTGGTATTGTGCTGTGGTTATGATTTGCATTTCCCTAACAGCTAACAGTCAGCATGACTTCATGTGCTTTCTGACCATTTGTATGGACCACATTTTCTTTGCAAAAGTATCTAGTCAAACCCTTTGCCTATGTTTGTTTGTTTGAGACAGGGTCTCGCTGTACAGTTCAGGCTGGCCTTGAACTCGCTTATATGGCCCAGTCTGGCCTGAATCCATTGCAATCTTCCTGCTTCCCTTCCTAGTGCTGGGGTTACATGTGTGCACCACGACATCTGGCTTAGGTTTTGCCTAATCCAAGGTCATGAAGACTTACTCCCAGATTGATAGTTTTAGCTCTCCATTTAAAAAAAAAAAAAAAAAGTAGGAATTCAAGCTTAAAGCCTTCAGCAACAGAAGCCATGCTAGCTAAAAACAACTAACATACAGCATCACATTAATAAACATCTTAACCTTAGATCTGAGATTCTCTGGAGCTGGGGATTTAGCTCAGTGGCACAGAGCCTGCCTGGCAAGCACAAGCTCGTCAGTCCGATTCCCGGTACCAGAAAACAAACAAACAAACAAAAAAAGATAGAGATTCTCATTTTTCTTTTTTGTTTGTTTGTTTGGTTTTGGTTTTTGGTTTTTCTCCGGTATCAGGAACCAAACTCACGACCTTGCGCTTGCCAGGCAGGCACTTTGCCGCTGAGCTAAATCCCCAGCCCCGAGATTCTCATTTTTCATATGCAGCCAGGGATATAGCTCAGTGGCATTAAGCGCTTGCCTGGCAAGCCTGAGGTCATGAGTTCGATCCCCGGTAACAACAAAGAAAAAGATATTCATTTTTCATATGCAAAGGGTAATAAGTTTTCCTTTTAAAAACAAATTATATAAGTAAACACGTGGGCCAGTATCAAAGGAATAACCCACAAAAGGGATATAGTTCTGCTAGTAGTAGAAAAGTAACTTCAGTTTTAGAAATTGTTGGCAACTAGCTTCAAAATAGATTCTGGACCGGGCGTGGTGGCACAGGCCTGTAATCCCAGCACTGGGGAGGCTGAGGCAGGAGGATCGTTGCAAGTTTGACACCTGCCAAGCTACAAAGTGAGCTCAAAGCCAGCCTGAACTGCACAGCGAGACCCTATCTCAAAAAGGCAAAAATAAATAAATGGATTCTGGATTTAAAAGGCCGGAGGTCTGACTCCCACTTGTGACTAAGCGACTTTCCCCTTCCGATCTTCAGGGGCAAACATTAAGTTCAAGTGCAGCTGTGAGGACCTCGTGATGCAACACACAGCCTTCAGGCACACAGGCGGCTGGCAGAAAATGACATCCGGGCCTCCCAAATTTTAGCTTCCTGCCATCCCCTCGGCGCATCCCAGTCCAGCCTATTTGAGCGGAATTAAGTTACCCTTCTTTTGCACGTTGCTCAGCGCTTTTATACGAGGTAGCATTTAAAAAAAAATTATCCCCTTTGTGTTGGGTCAGACCTGGGCACCTGGGCACAGTCATGGATTTGTGAGAGTGGCAAGGGGGCTCGGGAGGCTGAGGCAGGAGGAGCGCTGGGAGTCCGAGGCCAGCCTCGGATACACAAGGAGTTCAAGGCCAGCCTGAACTGCATATCCAGACCCTGGCTCAAACCAAAAACAAAAACAAAAACAAAAACGACCTAATGCCTGGCAGCCTGGCACACAGGAAAGGGCCGCACACCGTGCTGGGGTCAGAACCAGCGCCCGGCCGGCATCTCCGCGGACACCGCCGGCAGCCGACAGAGGCCGCAACCGCGGCGCCCGGGGCCGCGCGGGCGGAAGGACCGAGGCTGAGCCCCCGGCCCCGGCCCACACTCACGCCCTCCAGGACGTCATAGTTGGCCTTGATCTGCGCCTCGATCTCCTCCTTGCGCCGCATCAACTCCTGGATGTCGCCGACAGCCGTCGCGCGGGCCTCCGAGGGCTGCAGCGTTTCCTCATCCGACATCCTACACCTCTGCCTGGGAGCTGGGCCACTGGGCCACCCGTCTACGGACGCCGGAGGGGACTGTGGCTACGGCTCCGCCCGTGGGCCAAAACACTGCAGCTGACTGTGCGCGCGAGGATAAATAAGGGGCGGGGTTGTAGCGGTGGGCGGGGCCACCGGGATCCCTTGGTTCACTCCCTGATACCCAGGAAGAGAAAAAAAACAAAACAAGAGATGCAAGAACTAGATGTAATCTGTATTCCTTGTCGGTGTCCTATTTTTTTCTCCTTCCGCCTCAGAAAAGCCGCAAAAGGAGCCGGATGTGGTGGCGCATGCCCGTAATCCCAGCATTCTTGGAGGCTGAGGCCGGAATCGTGCGAGCTGGAGCCAAGCCTGGGAAATTTAGTGATTTAGCAAGAACCTGTCTTAAAATGAAAATTTAAAACAAAACAAAACAAGGTCTGGGGATGTAGATCAATGCAAAGACCCAGAGTTCCATCCTTCGTACTGAAAAAAAAAAAAAAAGCTACAGAAGATATCTTGGATGCCTGGCGTGGTGGTGCAAGCCTGTAATCCCAGCACTCAGGAGGCTGAGGCAGGAGGATTGTTGCGAGTTCGAGACCAGCCTGAGCTACAAAGTGAGTTTAAGGCCAGCCTGAACTGCATTGCGAGACCCTGTCTCAAAAAAAAAAAAGAAAAAGAAAAAAAAAGAAGAAGAAGAAGAAGGGGAAGGGGAAGGGGTAGGGGAAGGAGAAAAAGAAGAAATAATCTTGGAACTGGGCATGATGATGCACACCTGTAGTCCCAGCACTCAGGAGGCTGAGACAGGAGGATCACTGTGAGTTTGAGGCCAGTCTGGGCTACATAGTGAATTCAAGAGTTCGAAGCCAGTCTGCACTACATAGCCAGACCCTGTTTAAAAAAAAAAAAAAAAAAAAAAAAAGATATCTTGGAACAATTTGAAAAATTTTGAATATGGATAGTATAGTATCAATATTAAATTTCCTGATTTTATTGCTTGAACTGTGGTCATATAAGACAATGTCCTTAGAAAATGCACCTTTTAGTAGAGACAAGAGAGGTGATTTAGCCACGCATGATGGTGCTGTAATTCCAGCTTTCGTAAAGCTGAGGCAGGAGGATCGCCATAGTTTGAGGCCAGCTCGGGCTACTAGTGAGTTCAAGGCCAGCCTGAACTACACAGTGAGTCCCTGTCTCAAAAAAAAAAAAAAAAAAAGAGATGACTTATTTTCAAATGGCTCTGAAAACATATGAATATGTATTTGTAGACAAGTGAATGATAAATAAAGCAAAATGTAAATAACTGGTGACTGTAGATGACATATATGAAGATTCTCTATGTTGGCTTGGTAATTTTCTTGTAACTTTGAAGTGGATTCAACATAAAAAGTTAAAAAGTAATCTTTCAATTTTTAAAATTGCTTATTAGTGCGTGTTTGTAGCGTGTGATGATCTCCTTCTGCCAGGAGAGCTGGCACACTGTGTACTCCCTGTTCCTGACCAGCAGTAATAAAATCACTGAGAAAGAAACGAGAGAAACAGTACCACTAGGGGCTGGGGATTTAGCTCAGCGGCAAAAGCGCCTGCCTGGCAAGCGCAAGGTCGTGAGTTCGGTTCCCGGTACCGGAGAAAAACCAAAAAAAAAAAAAAAAAAAAAAAAAAAAAAAGAAACAGTACCACTCACGGCAGCATCAAAAAAAATGAAATACCCCAGCACCACAAAAAAAGAAAAGAAAAATGAAAAACCTTGGAATTAGCCTAATCAAGGAAGTAAAAGAGCTGTACAGCAAAAACTACAGTACTCTGAAAAAGGAGATCAAAGAGGACATCAGAAGATAGAAAGACTTGGCCAGGTGTGGTGGCACATGCCAGTAATCCCAGCACTCGGGAGGCTGAAGCAGGAGGGTCACTGTGAGTTGGAGGCCAACTTGGGGTACATAGTGAGCTCAAGGCCAGACTGTACTACATAGTGAGACCTTGCCTCAACCAAACCAAAACCAAAAAAGAGAGAGAAAAAGAAAATGGAAAGAGATCTCCTGTTCCTGGATAGGCAGAAGTAATATAGTTAAATTATATTACTTCCAAAACTGATAACATAGATTTAGTGCAATCCCAATCAAAATACCAACAGCATTCCTCACAGAACTACAGAAAATTATCTTAAAATTCATATGGAACCAGCAGAGACTCAGAACATAGTAAATGCAACCCTGGGCACAATAATCTTTGAACAGAATAAAAGTAGGAAAAAAACTGATTGAATTAGGCCTCCTATATTTTGTTTAATAATCTGTTTTAAATAAATTTAATATTTCAGAGCTGGGCATGGTGACACATGCCTGTCATCCCAGCACTCGAGAGGCTGAGGCAGGAGGACTGCCATGAGTTCAAGGCCAGCCTGGGCTACATAGCAAGACCTTGTCTCAAAAAGAAAAAATAAATTTAAAAAAAAAAAACTTAATAGGGGCTGGGGATTTAGCTCAGCAGCACAATGCAAGCTCAAAGTCGTGAGTTCGGTTCCCGGTACGGGAAAAAACAAAACAAAACAAAACAAACCACCTTAATATTTCAAATATCAAGAGGAGAGAGACACAGACAGGCAGAGATAAAAGATGAAAGATGAGAGAGAGAATGAATGCAGTACATATTCCTTGACTGGATACTGGATAGTGGATTAGTGAAAAGCAGCAGCATTCAAAGGTATTATCAGGCCAGGCATGGAGGAGCACACCCGTCGTCCGAGCCACCCAGAAGGCTGTGGGAGAGGAGTCGCAAGTCTAAGGCCACCCTGAGCGATGTACATTGAGACCTTGTCTCAATATAAAACACGAGGGGCTGGGGATTTAGCTCAGCGGCAAAAGCGCCTGCCTGGCAAGCGCAAGGTCATGAGTTCGGGTCCCGGTGCCGGAGAAAAACCAAAAAACAAACAAATATAAAACACGAAAAGCGCTGGGGGTGTGGCTCAGCGGTACAGGAACTTGGGTTCGTCTCCTGTATGGCCGGTTGAATCTGGACTTTATGTTAAATTACAGAATGCAGATGTTAAATATCCTCAGTAAGACGCCAGTATTTGCAGTTTCATCAGAGAATCTTATTCAAAGAGAAGTTGCCATAGCATTTAGAGATGTAGTATAATTTATGTGACTAGCAAATGGTTCAGAAATACACACGGTGAATGTTTAATTTTTTTAAAATTTATCGTAGTATATGACACATTGCTATTACTTCCCCTCAAAATACTCCCCCTGAATTTGAACTTGAATATTCAGTCCATCTTTTTGCTTCTTTCTTCCTCTTGTTTTTTGAGACAGGGTCTCACCCTGTGGCCTAGGCTGGCCTCGAACCCGTGGCAATCCTCCTGCCTCCCGAGTGCCGGGATCGTGGGTCTGTAACACCATGCCCAACATCCCGTGATGCGTGTGTGTGTGTGTGTGTGTGTGTGTGTGTGTGTGTGTATGTGTGTGTGTTGAGGTTTGGTTGGGCTTTGTTTTGTACCAGGAATCGAACTCACAACCTTGCACTTGCTAGGCAGGCTCTGTGCCGCTGAGCTATGTCCCCGGCCATTTTTTGAGGTTTGTGTTTTGTTTTGTTTTGTTTTTTGAGACAGGATCTCACTACGCGGCTCAGGCCAGCCTGGAACTCGATTGTGTAGCTGAGGCTGGTCTCGACTCAAATTTACAGTAATCCTCCTGCCTCAACCTCCCAAGTACTGGGATTACAGGTGTGCACCACCATGCCTGGATGGGTTTTTGTTTGTTTGTTTTTTGAGGCAGGGTCTTGCTGTGCAGTTCAGGCTGGCCTGTAACTCACTGTGTAGCCCCAGGCTGGCCTCAAACTGGCAATAATCCTCCTGCCTCAACCCATCCCATTACTCTTGTCCATTTCCCTCTTTTGTGAGTGTGTAATAAAAAATACAGTGACGGCTGCTGCTGTGTGCCGTCCACAACAAAGGCAGCTCATAAAAGCATGACCATGTGCCCATCCACCATACTGTGGCAGGGTCGGCCTTCTGGCTCTTCTCAAAGTCAAAATGATCATGAAACAGACGGGTGCGTGGTGGCGCATACCTGTAATACCAGTACTCTGGGAGGCTGAGGCAGGAGGATGGCAGCGAGTTCAAGGCCAGTCTTGGCTACATAGGAAGATTAAGACCAGTCTGAACAATATAGTGAAGCCCTGTCCCCACCCCCAAAAAGACCATGAAAGGACAGCAAGGCAGCCATGACAGTGCAACTAAAGACATGAACACCACACACACACACACACACACACACACACAGGGGGCAAAGCAAAAATGTAAGAACTTGTAAGTGTAAGTGAACGGCATAAGAAGCTTATGGAAACTACCTTGCAACTCTTCAGTCTGAAAATTTCCCCAGATACAAAGGGGGCGAGAGCAGCTTCACCGTCTGAACCCGAGCTCCAGAGTCGCTGCAATGCGGTGTGGGTCAGGGAGCCTGTGACTGTCGTCACCTGCGCCCCTGCTTGCTGCCCGGCCTCCCGCCTTTCCCCGACCGCAGCAGCCCCTGGCCCTGTCTCAGTCGGCGAAGAGCCACATGTCCCCTGCTGCTTACAGCTTCCCACGCCTCCCAGCGCCTCCAGAGTCTTTCAGCCTCGAAGCCCCACCTCCCCACCCCGCCCTCACCAGCCCAGCCCCCAAGCGGTCTCTCACTTGGACAGACAGGGCCAGCACACCTGAACGGGGTGAAAGCGCCGCCGTGCTCTGGATGTCACCACCAAGACCCAAGTTGTAATTTGACCTCCACGGATTGTTGCTGAGGAAGGGGTGAGGCTCGTCACTGGTGACGGAACCCAGACTGGCTCTGTCCCTCGGATGCACCTCCTCGCTGGGCCATGCCTTGTACCAAGGAGACTCACCACCTTTCTGTGCAGCATCTCAAGAGGGCCTTGCTGATGTAGCCTCTCCACCCTGACCTCTCTGCCTCCAGAACCATGAGCTGAAGAAACCTTCATTCTTTATAAATTACTTGGTCTTGGATATTTTGTTATAACAACAGAAAGCACATTAAGGCAGCAAGGCAGCAGCTGGGAATCCAGGGGCAGCTGTGGCTGTCCCACAGGGGTGTAGCCTTCAGTAGGTGGACACAGCTGTGCTAAAACAACATCTGGCAGGAAGGGAAGTAGGGAGTAAATACCCTGACGTCGGCTGGAGCCTTTGGTGACTAAAGGCAGGGGCCTGGGGCAGGGAAAGAAAAGATTTGCAGGGAC